TTCTCCGACTGGTGCATATGCTAAGTTCTAGGTATTTTTTGGAACCTTTCTTAGAAAAATGTTGAAAATAGACTTCAACTGGAAATTGTTATCTTCGTTTGAGGAAGACTTACCTTCATCCAATTACTTTTGAGTAGGATTCCTATCTGCTACTTTTTTCTGTTAAACAAATTGAGCTCAGTGACTGATGTTTTGGATAAGTGAACGAGAAATCCTTGGTAGTGGGTGGATAAGGGAAGCGGTCTCTTGAGCAGCTGGGATGATGTGGCTAAATCTGTTTGTGTGGGAGGTCATCAATCGAGAACCTTCAGATTAAAAATATTGGCTTCACATGCAAAGTTTTGGTGTCTTTGGAAATCCGTATCTCAGAGCATATCCCCCCTCCCCCCTCCTCTTTTCATTTTTTCATTTTTCTATTGGGAATGGGCTGTGCAAAGTAAAGGTGGAAAGATGATGATATATATTTTGCAAACTTAAAACTTGCTCTGGAGAATTAAGAGGTCTGTTATCGTATGCCTCCGGCCTCATTTCCAATGCCTGCTACTAGCGGGTGGTATGGATCATAAGGTTATTGTTTTTTTATTTTATCTCCTTCCATTTGGCCAGGTTTCTTCTAACCGTCTGGGAAATTTGTTCTTGATTTGTCGGTTGAGCTTCTGATCCCTTCATAATAGAGGCAAGTTTTAGTGTTTCAGACCTTGTACTCTTATGTGTGGGGACATTTGTGTGGAGAGGAATAGTAGATATATTCAAGATTTGTTCAAGATTGTTGGGATGTTTAGAATGCTGCGCAGTGCTTCAATGCTTTTCTTTTGGTTTCTACTCTTTGTTTCGAGTCGTTTCTTGTTTTTTGATGTATGGATCATTGGGATGGTTGTGCAGGACTCATAAACTTAGAGCAGGTTCTTGCATGGGGCTTGTTTTTCAGTGCAGTTATTGGCTTGTTGTGTATATATATCTTTTTCGTTTTTAATGAATGCTTTGTAAAATATTGTCACAATTAATGGGCATATATCCGCTGCCTACAATTTTCCTGCCAAGTGTAATGTTGACTTCATCTTGGATGTTTGAACAACTATAACCTTGATTTGTTATCTTGCTTCAGATTATTACTACCTTCAGCGTTGTGGATAACATGAAAGAGCAGTTTTTGGCTCAACAAACTCAAGTTTCCAGGTAAGATATGGATGGTAATTTTATGATATGCATTCTTTTCTAATTCTGCCTCGCTCCTCTTTTGTCACATTTCATTATTACCCAAAAGCAACTCTTCTTTTTACCTCGATTCAGGAAAGATGATTCTAGAGTCCAAGAATTATTTGATGATATTGAAAAACTACGGGAAAAATTTGAAGCTATCGAGAGACCCAATCTAGAAATCGAAACTCCACCTCCAAAACCAGAAAATGAATCTAGAGAGGAGGTGCAGAGTAGTGTTCCCCAACCTCCGCTGGAAGACAGCAAGAACCCAAAAGATGAAACTGGTAATTATCCCAAACCACCTGCAGTCAAGGCAGAACAGACACTAGACACTGCAGCTGAGCTAGCTCAGCTGGAATCAGAATTCGGAAAAGTTGCTCACGACTACTCAGCAGAAGACATTGGTGAATGGGAGTTCGACGAGCTGGAAAGGGAACTGAGATCAGGTGACTCAAAGAACTAGCTCTGTCATACTATGTACGCATGAATGAACCAAACTAATTTATTATGAAGAAAGGTCGTAGGTTTGCGTTTGGCATTCCCCCAAAACTGCAAAATTGGATCATAATCTTTCTTTGGTAATTGTTCTTTGTACATTTTGTGGTTTTTTTATTTGTTCACTTGTATAAATTCTGGAACATTTGTGTTGTAATATAAAAGCCAAAGAAGGGAAACAGTCAAATCAAGAAGACTTAATATGCAAGTCCAACCTTTTAGATAACATTACTGCAAGGGGTAAGTTTTTAAGTTTCTTAAGCAAACCATCCCTTAGTGGGAGACCCCAATGTTTCCTGACAGATTAGTTGGTGTAGGGTTAGGAGATTTTTGTTAATATTGATATGTGGCAGAAAGGTTTCCTGATATGGTAGTTCTGGAATTTGTCTCTTCTTTTGAAGGACACCATGATGGTCAATGAGCCTTCTCTGTCCTCAAGGATAGGTCACAGAAAGTAGTGGGCTGAAACATGCCTGGCCCAAATCTTTCTTGAAAGGGCAGCTTTGAAACAGTAGCGATCATATCTTTTTGGCTGCAACTAATTGTTTTAGAGTTGTGGTGGGATAGAGAATGAAGTTTCTACTTCTAATAAGAACCCTAGCTTGATAATAAAAAGTGATTCTAGTTGTCAACCCCCTTAGGCCTTGGCCAATAAGAAGTTAGCTTTTCATCCTGATTTTCTGGGTGGTGGGTCTCTGAGATGGATCTTATTTGTGGCCTCTCTCTCTCTCTCTCTTGAATTTCTATGTTGATGTTTGATTAAATATCTAAGTTACTTTGTTTTGTGGTGCCAGTGAGCTGGCCTCTCACACTCTATGCTTGTCATAAAGGGTTACTTATAAACTTATACTTTCTTCACTGATTTGCTTATTTCGCAAAGCATGTTTTTAAATTTTTTTAATTTTGTTCTGAAAGCGTTTAGTTTGTGAAATCTAAAAGTTAAAATTTTGTTTATTTTAATGATAATGCATTAAAGTATATGGGTTTCTTTAAAGCTTATCGACAGGAGGGCTTAATTTGTTAATTTATAAACTATGGTAATGATTGGAATGTTTTTAAAACGTAAAGGTACAATTTTTGTAAATTAAGTAAAATCATGAGGTCTGATTACAGGACCTCCCTCAATGGGTCGTTGGTACTTTTTTTGCACTAAAAAAATGGAATTTGGAGCAATCCTTTTCATTTATGAACCAAGTTGGCAAATTAGAAACTCCTTTGTGATCGCATGTGGGTTTTTGTTTGTCTTTTTAATGGTTCATTTTTTTTAACACAATTTTAAATTTTGTTTTGTTGTTTTTTTTTTTTTTTTTTTTTTTGGGGTG